CATTTTCCTTTGGGGTATGGGCAACGAGTGATCACATGAACTTGAAAAAATTCCCATCTGACAGTGCACATGCCATAGCTGTAGCTGATTTCAATGCTCTAGCAACCATTAAATCAGAACTCACATTCGTAGCATGTCAAAGTAAGCATACGTTAATGTTTTTAATACTTTCGAGAATTAATAATTGTTCTTGTATAACTGGAATCAATATATTTGATGTTTTAGTTAAGTTTTCCTTCGGCTCATTAGAGAATACCACTCTCATAAAAGCTATGACTTTTTCTATTGATCCATGAAAATATAAATATTGTACGATGCCATATCTTTTTCCCCTTTCTACTTATACTCTGTTTTTTCGATACAGTATGTATATTTTCAGCATGTGGCTTCATTTCCAAAGCCGACATCGTATTTGTGCTAGACGCGTCTTCAAGCGAAGGAACATTGAACTTCCAAAAACAACTCGACTTCGTCTCACGTGTGGCTAATGATTTTCAGATCGGACCAAACCACGTCCAAATTGGCATGCTTACCTTCTCGGACTATCCAAACCTTGAGTTTTATCTGAACCAATACACCGACAAAGCTTCTTTGCTTAGTGCTATTCAGAAAACAGGGTACCTTACCGGAGTAACAAACACAGATCAAGCACTCAAGTATACACGAGAGAATATGTTCTCTCCGAAACATGGTGCCAGAGACGATGCTAAAAACTACATGATTATTTTGACGGACGGGGCGTCATCAAATGCAAACTTGACGCTACAGGAAGCTAACTTGCTAAAGAACCAACACATCGAAATTCTTGCAGTTGGTATTGGTTCTAATATAAATTCAAATGAGTTGAATAGCATGGGGTCAGACTCAAACCATGTGTTTACAGTCTCGTCATTTGATGCTCTGAAGACTGTCCGTACGGATATTAAAAAGGCAGCTTGTGAAGGTATGCTTTAATATGTCCAATAAATTTTCTCAGCTTTATTCATAATACCTTTTTACTTTTTGGTAATCTTGCTTTTTGTGACTAGAAAAGAAATTTTCATACTTCTGAGTGTTTGGACACTTTTTGTTTTGCCAGTCCAATGAACGGTGTAGATTCTATTATCGCTCATTCCTCGGATTATTTTGAGACTTTTGGGGTTTTTGATATTAGAAATGCGGCTAAATCGACATCTTAATTTATATAATTATGTAGTCGATACTTATATCTTCGTAAGCGGTTAAGTGTATAGAACTACGATTGCGTGGTAATGGAGAGAGGTATTAACATCCATTAAAATGTACTATTCACACTTGAGAATTGTATCGAGTTATCACAATCTGGTACATGATTTCAAAGAGAGCCATTTAATTAAAAAGCAAATATCTTTTTTCTGTGCCATTATTTCTCTTTTCCTGAAATTCACATTTTGTCCCTTATTTTTCATTGTACAGAGGTAACGACAACAACGACTACACCTATGCCAACAACTACTCCAACGACCTTGAGTAAGTTATAACTTTATGTGTTCTATGAATCAAGACAAAATTTGCCAAGTTGTAACTTAACGTTCTGATACACATCTGCCATATTCTAGATCCGACTTTTTTAAAAAAAGATATTTTGATATGTGACTTTTGTGATATGCATGCTTCATAACCTCAGATCCTCTTTCAAAATTCAATTTTATTTAGTTCCACCCATTGTTTTCTCGTTAAGGGCAACAGCATTCTTTACTTGGGGACCATACGCCGCTTTCATGGAATGACGCTACTGTGTCACATTGAAGGTTCCATGATAACCGCCGTATGAAAACATCTGCGGATGTTTCTAAATTCAAAAATTTTCGCCATTTTCGTGTTTAAATGGTGAATTCTGCTTAAGCCGGTGCTAGGGAGTGTGGACGGCAACTTTACAGTACCGTCCATGAACAGGCTCAATCAAAACAGAGCCTGCAACATTTTCAATTTTGTTGTGTTGGACTTTCTACAGGGATTCTGTTTTTCTCTATTTTATCAAAATGGTCTGTTTTGTCAATTTGTTTTTGACGAACATAAGAAAAAACACTCAGTGTTATAATGTTTTTGTTGTTGTGATATGATTTTTAAATTTTGTTGTTGTGATATGATTTTAAAAAAAAACAATATTGTTTTTTAAATTTCACCCGATACTGTTTTCTTCAATGAATTGTTCATAATCATAGAAAAACAAAATCACTGTTCTTTAAAATTGTCTTTCATATTGGTAGTTACTGTCATAATTAAAGATAAACTATGCCCATCCTTGCATAAAATATTTTAATTGCAGAAATTTATTAAAATTTATTTGAATTCTTACTGAATATGTCTAATTTGAATAAAAGAATGAATAAACTATGTATGGGTAGCTTAGTTTCCTAGTATAGATCAAGTAATGTAAATATTTTTTGAAATACACTATATATTCATATTGTGGTCACCTATGGTGAATAGACTATAAATTGCAACATTTCTACTTTGTGTGGAGTCAAAATATGTTTATTATATATTTATAAAAGGTATTGTAGCAAATATCAATATTTTCTAATATAAAATTTGGGCAAAGTATATCTTTAAAATATTTAGATGATTATACCAAATTTGCTATCAATATATTTTCAGAGACTACAACTACGGAACATTTCATACCAGGTACTCATTTTCTTAACAAAGTATCGTTTATATCTCTTAAAAATTAATGTTTAAAATAAATACAAATTTATGCAAAATTTAATTGTAAAAAAAGACTTTATTGTCTGTTTCAAATACAATAGAAAATATTTTGATACAATTCTATGAATTAGAAAAAAAGAGAACGTTTCTGGTTTCGTGAATATTCTGTACTTCGACACTGTGTTTAAGAAGTCCTTGTTCTCTTTTACAGATACTACAACAGAACACTTCATACCAGGTTTGATTCTAATCAGTTATTAACTAGCTAAATTTCTTAAATGGACTTGTCTAAATTCCGTTTTTTGGAACTGTCCAGTATCAATTTTAGGGATCTCAAGGTAAAACTTAAATTTAGCCGGTCAACAGTGTAGAGGTTGGATTTACAAGCTAGCCTGGTTCTATACTGCTGACAAAGGTTAATCCTTTTCGGTTTCAACATGTGAAGGATTTAGAAATTATACTTGCATAATAAATCTAAATGATATCACTATATTGCAATCACGTTTTAATACAATCATTTGAGTATGACCATCCTTATGTTTACCTCCGCTATGAAGAGTATTCAAATAAGCTAGAATTACTGTAAACTGCATTGAAACTTAGGGCCTCGAGTTTAAACCCCACAACGATCAACTTTTCTTTTTTTTCTACTTTAAACATTATGTATGTATCTTTCAATATCTTTTTCGAAAATAAACTGTTAAATTCTATCTCTATAATCAATATAGGTATTTATTGGCTAAATTATGCTCAATCATTAAGCAAATATGGTACCTAAATGTCAAAAAAGGAGATAATTCTAGAACTGATTAGCAGCTGTTTCCTAACATCTAAGAGATAACTCATAAATTTATTTCCTAATGAAATCTTTTCAAAGTATACCCGACATTGACAAATATTAATAAACATATAAATCAGTTCATTGTCCATCTGAATAAATCCAAGTATAACTATATGTATATGAGATTTTCTTGAATACACCACTTTGTTATATACATTATCTAAATATCAACAGTTAAAAGCTAAAATACCCTTGCTTATCAGTTAATAAAATCTACATAAAAGTCTTATAAAACCTTGACAACTCAATAATATGACAAAATGCCCTGTTATCTGAAAAATAGTTTAAATATGGGTCTAACTTTAATCAGAGTTAACTAAAATTAATTAACAAAGGTACTTTAGTCTGCCATAAAAGTTAGTTTACTAAAACGTAAAAATGTGATTGTATGTATATGTATATATGTATAAAATTATGTTTCTAACACAATTCTCAAATATCGAAGAATATGTAAAATATTTACTGCAAATATTTGTCCACATTATGTGTAATAATTTACATATATGCATTCATTTCTTACTGAAAAAAAAATGACTTTATAGAAAATGTATTTCTAATTACCTCCTTTATTAACATGAAATGTAAATTCGGTAATATCTTTACAAATAATGCTTTTTGGAACTTACAATAGTGATAAATCTTCATTTGAGCATTATATTTATGATATAAAACCATAAAAAATGAGTAACAGGGTCTTTAATATAAAGCTTTTCAGTATCAACTAAATCTAATGATTTCATAAGGGGACAATCTAAGTTAAATAAAAAAAACATAGATCATTATAAAAGAAGTAAAAATGAAAACTGTAAAGGCCATCGTCATATTCCATTCAATATAACACTTGCATGAAAAGACACGTACTTAAAATATCATTGACCTTTCTTGATATAAATGCATAAATATACTTATCATGAATTATGTTTACGTTTTTCATTTGTAAATGGTCGATCCATGAAATAAATCACCTTTATTAATAACAGTAATTTACAAAATAAACAGCATGACATAAGGTAAAACATTAAAAGCAAGAAAGCGTTATTTCAAAAAAATCAGTCAATGATGAATAACAAATTATTTACCGCAAATGTATTGCAAAAAAACCCAACATAATTCAAATGTTTTATATCTACCTTTTTCTTTTCCTTGTTTATAATTATTTTTTTCTCTTTACAGACACAACAACCTTGGGCTAGCTTGTCTCCCGGTAATAAACTGGTTTTAATGTATCATTCAAGTTGTAAAACTTGAGCTTTTTTGTTGTTGATTTTTTTAACTGCAACCTTATATATACTAACGTCGACTGAATTTTCTGTTTGATTAATACATGCGTTGACTTAAGAAAATTAAAATGCAACAATGCAGAAAAGCAGTCATGAACGGCATATACTTTCTTTAAAAATCGAGTCTCTGTGAGAAAGAACAATGTTTGCAACATTAATGACGTCAGCTTGAAATAGGTAAAATATTAAAATAAGCACAGACATGTATCTATTGCTAACAAACAAATTAAATATATAAAGACTACCTTCTATAAAATCAAAATTTTGTGAAACTGTCAAACCTGGTACACCAGTTATTGTATGTCTTTACTTTTTTGTTTTTCAGATCAAATATGTAAGACAATCAACTTGACATATGCAATGATTTTGTAGTCTTTAAAACAAATAAAATTGACAGAAGCATGCCGATGTTTTGATTAACCCTTAATTATGAAATTAATCTAAAGAGACAAACTACGAGATAAGATCTGAAATTGTACAATAAAGTTCTACAAACTCAGTGTTTCTGCAAGCAAACCGAATCATCAACCCAATTTTCTAGAAAAGACATAATGACCTATATGACCTTATTTTGTCAAAGCTTATTAATCTTGTAACTATTATTCAATGTGACAAAAAAAGTGTCGTACAGCAAAACAAAATATGTTATTTCATATAAAACAAACAAATGTCTAGGCAGGAAGAAAAGTGTAATGATTCTCTTTTTTCCAAATCAATAAATTCAAAAAGTTTAATTATAATATGACACACGAATGCTGACAATATATATACATGTATAATCTGTTAATTGTTTCTCCATAGCATTACTGTGAGAACATTCATAAATGAATACGATGTCATTTTGAATTTGCATGTTTACAAAAGCAGAATGTGTTCTGTATTTTTAATATAGGGATTTTCTACCACTGTGCGTGTATTGAACTGATCCCTCCTATGGACCTTGGTTCATTGTTCATGTATTTGTTCCCCTTCATTTATTTTGGCGCAGAATGTGTTTAATTAATATGAGTTTCTACAGGACTACACAAGTCAATTGAATAGGGGAAATTATCAATAGTAAGAAGAACATCATGCCTAGTCTGGAGTTCCTTCCCCTTATACTACGTTATAGCTACTTTCCGTAGAAAATGTAGGCAGGGAACCAGACTACACCATGCCTTAAAGATCCTGTATGTTTTGTAAATGATATTGTTACTGTGTTTATACAACACTTGCAAAAAATTATATATGTATATAACACTGTATAATTATGCAAATAAAACAATTTTCAAACATCAAAGAATATGTAAAATGTGTACTGCAAATATTTGTGCCCATTATAATTAATCAATAAATTATATGCATTCATTTCTTATTTGAAAATTTTACTTAGAATTTATAGAAAATAAATTTCTAATTACCTCCCTTTATTTACATGAAATGTTAAATTCGGTAATATCTTTATAAATAATTACAATATTGACAAATCTCAATTTGAGCATCATATTTATGAAATAAAACCATGAAAAAAAGTGTTACAGGATCTTTAAAATCTTTAGAAAAAAACTACGACAGAATGACGAAGAAAAAAAAACTAATAAAAGGTCACACGTTTTTAAATTACGAAAAACATTACGGCAAAATAAATGTAGCCGTGTCTGTTCCTTGACGAAGTGTTGAATGGTAGACACCGTCAACGCTCCCTATCACCGGCTTAAGCAAAATTCAACATTTAAACATGAACATGATTAAATTTTGGTACAAAACAACATCCGCAGATGTGGTCATAAGGCAGTTTTTATGGAACCTTGAATCAAACACGCGTTTGACCCCCAAGTAGAGAAAATTAACAAAAATGTTTGCGCATTCCAGAAAGCAATTGGTTAACCTATTGAAAATAAAATAGAATTTTGAAAGGAGGGAGATATAACGAAGAAATAATGTCACGTAAAAGCCGTCAATAGAAAAAAAAATCAAGCAAAATATCATAAGGGAGATTAAACAGTATTTAAAAAAATTGATACTTAAGCCACACTTCAAGTAAGCGAACAAAGTGAAGGAACTAAAATGATTGCAAACTCAAGAGTTAATTCGTTTTGATCGATCTTAAGGAATAAAACATGTGTGATTGAATATACAGGACAAAATTTACAGTCTTCTCAGGCATTAACACCGCTAATGTAGCAATAAAATAAAATACAGATAGGATGGTGTTTAAATAAAACGATGTAAGCAACAAGGTTAACGTCCATATGTGGAAACTTAAACAAAGGCATCTATTATTTTTATTGTGTCACGGTTTCTTTTTTCAAGAACAAAATTTCCGAAATGGTACCTTTTTATATGAAATGTTTAATATTGTTCTGTTAATGGATTCATACACATGTATATTTTGTTTATGTTAAGTTATCGAACTTACACTCGTAAAGCATTTTTGTCGATTAAAGAAAATATTCTAATAACGACTTGAATTACATTTTCTCTTTCTGTTTTAATTCTAATCTGTTATTACACTATACAGTTTATAATCATTAACCTTATTAATACGAAAATGAACATGATCAGTTGGATTTGAAAAAAGAATTTTTCAAAATGTAAGTTTTTTGTAAACAGACATAAACAGTTTCATGTAACCAGTACATCCGCCTTTGAAAAAAAATCGGTAATCCTATTGATAAAACGAAGCATAATTAACTTTACAGTCAATCCGAGAAAGCCATATGCTATCCTTAGCTTATCTTAAGGAGAATTATACAAGTCTTTATCCACAAATTTGCTTAACACTTCAGCTACATTGTCTGCGTCAGGTAGAGCATATGATTCATCACCTGTCGGAAAGAACGATTCTTTTATTTTTTTCTAATTCCTTTCTCTATATCCAAGTCAAAATAATTGGTTTCCTCTTTTTTGTTCTCTTTTTCGTTTATTCTTATTGTGTCTTGTCCGCACCCTGCTTTGTTGTCTAGTTCTTTTTTTATCATGTTTCAGTAATTGCTGCTCCCGGATAAAATTCATCTTCAATACTTGTGTTGTTTTTCCCGATTCCATTTATGCTCTGCTCAGAATCACACAGATGATCGGAAGGGTTTGTTTTAAGAGTGGTTGTTATGTTCACGTGTTTCTTCAGATTCTTTCATGTCGGGGCATACTCTAACAAAAGGATCATTTTTACGATTAACTTGGGATATTCTGCTCGGTAGCGCTTTTCTTTTGCATCAATATTGCTCACATTTTTATCGTCTTTATTCTGAAACGACATGCATCTGGAGTAAGTATCTTTTTGTACTCCGAATAATAATCTTCTTAATAAAAAAATTAAAACAATGTGAGCATAGTATAGTATTCGTTATGTTTCATTAGTTTACTTCTAACTGGTCTTCATAATTAATGAATTATTGCATAAAAGAAAATTATAATAAGTAGTCAGTGAATATTATTTAATCAGATTAAACATTTATAAAAAGTAATAAACTTTACATCCCAACGTATGTGCAATTCTATTTTGTAGGAGTAGTATTGGTATTAGTGAGCAAAGTAATAAGATAATAAATTATTTAAAAGTATAAACATAAATGAATACTTCAACAAAACATACTTCCATGAGTGGCTTCCCATTGAATGTTATGAATAAAAACCTTTCTGAAGCGGTACTATCATAGTCAATATTTTTGGCCTTCAGATATGTCAATAGTTTTGGTCGTGCGATATTTTCCGTAAACAGCTAAAATCCTCGTATACTTCTTTTCCAATAAAAAGATTTGTTTTTCCAGTCTTTACAAGAAAAAATGTGTCATTCTCCTTTTGTATTGATTTCTTGAGCTTCACAGAATTCTTCGTGTGTAATTGATAATACCGTTTCTTTGCCAACATTACATTCGTTCGAAACAAGGTCGAGAACAAAATTCATAAACATTTTATAGTCATTTTGACGAATTGGTATAGAATCTAAAAAGCAATTTTCTTTTGCATTGTCAATCATATACTGTTCAGTTGTACTTCGTTTATGTTGCTGTGGTTTTGATTTTGATTGATCTTTCTTTCGCTTTTATTTCGTTCTCGTTTGAACAGTATTTTTATCATTATTATTGCAATTAGTTTCAACACTGGTATTGTTTAACTGAACTGATGTTTCCTGAAGATTTGATACTTCTCGTTTGTAGTATACCTAGAACAGTAGGGAGCAATGGGCCACTTGTACCCTATGTGTTTGTTGTCTTGATCTAACATATACATCTCTCGCGTAATTAGAATTCCCCGTACTTCATCATCATGTAATGCCATATACTGTTGAGAATGTGTGGAGTTGTTCCCAAATGTTTGGTTTAAGTTGTACGGGACTAAAGGCATTGGTGTTGTCACACTTCAATGGGGGTTTCCTTAAAAGAAAAATAAATAAAAACAGTATATGCATATTTAAATCTTACAAATATTTTCTTTATCCTAAAACCATTGTAAAGGAATCAATGATTCATTCTGCCAGAAAGTCCATTGCAATATCACTTATGTACTAAAATGTTTTTTACATTAAATGTCGACGAAACACAAAAATCGCCATCAATAAGCTAGTCAGATCGTCATTCTCACGAATGGTCAGAAAATAAAACACTTCCATGAATATATTTTTGAGGAGGTTAAAGTATAATAACTCCCAAACTTTTTTTCGCTAATTCATATTTTTTCACTTTGATGTACAATCAAACTAATCAAATCAAACCTTTCGATAGAAAGAACTAGTTCTAAAGCTTCCTTTGCCTCTATTGTCTCCAGAAACAGCATCTTTTATATGTTCAAACGTTGCATTTGTCCTGCCCAAATTGTCAAGCCATTTAGTGAATACTTTTATGTACGCGTGAATAAAACAACTTTCTGTATGCTGATTCTTTGTTTCTAGCTCAATTTCATCAAACTGTATCATGAACGCTTTTCGCCATCTGCTGGCAATTGCCTAGAGACAATGTAATACATATTTCAATATCAAATATATATTTCGTAAAACTATATTACAGCACGAACAACTCTAAATCTTTTTTTACTCTTTTCTATGTCTCTCTCAACTCAAAACTTTTAAACATTTAACGGTATGATGAGTAAAATAATGTTTTCAATGTTTCATAAAAATGATTTACATACGTTACTAAAGCGTGAGTTTTTGCTGAAGCGAATTTTAAAAATAAACTTGAATTATTTACTGGCTTACTGAGTAAATCAATTGCAAATAATTTCCACTTTGATGCAGGAAAAGATCTTGATAATTGTAAGAAAACCTTTATCCAGTTTATTTGCAATTCGGAAGTACCTGAAAATTAAAGAGATAAATTAAATAACATCAAAATAAAGAAAACTTCACAACAGTCACATCACATTACATGTATTTGAAACGATAAATAGAGTTTAAAATATATTTAAAAAGCATTGAAAATGTTTGCCTTTAAAGTTTGTTTATTATGTGGCCTTAATGCGTTTTTAATTGTTGTATTTCTTTTCTCTTGTAAAAAGAACATATTACGTATTATACAGTGTTTTTACAATGAAATTTTGATAAATCTTATTGAATGTATGACTTAATTCCGTATATTTCTTGATCATCCCCGTATAAGTTTAACCTCGAACTTTCTATCTGTCGACCAAGTTCTATAGGCGGACAGGTCGTTCTTATGTGCCAAAAGTTTACGTACATGTCTAGTTATTTCTAAAACCATCCATCAATGCCAGAAAAGATGAAAAGACACGTTTGTTTTAAACATATAAAGAGGGTGAAAATGACTGGACATGACCTATATACAAATGCTCTATTCATATCATGACTTTTTGACATGCAGTTATGACCTTAAATGACTCTTGTGCGATACATACCATGTAGCCTCAGTAAGCCTCAAATGTATGCCAAAGTATTTTAAATTTCAAACTGCAATGCCATTAACATAACCAACTGTGCAAATTTAAGAAACGTTTAAACATTTTTTTCAAATTTTGTTAATAACTTTTGGTACTCAAGTGTTGCCTTGACCTTCGAGACACTGGCTAGGCTCTTTGGAGTGACATGACTTCTTAATGTTGCACACATGTATTATGCCAACCTAAATCAATACATGTATGGCAAACGGGTCAACTGGAACAACAATGTATTTTTACAGAAGTTAATTGTTACCATGATCTTGAGGTACCATTCTTGATATTACATGGGGCACTATGGCATCTTTTAAAAACATATTTGGCAAATTATTTTACAATTCATTTAGAAATGACAAAGTTGTTGCCCAGACAAATCTGGGTTGGTTTGACCTACAACCTACTTATGCACGAATAATTACGTCATGAACCAGAAGAGGAGGACAGACGGACAGACGATCAAAAAATATCTTATGCCTTCCTTCGGGAGGAAAATGTTGAAAGTCTGTAGACTCTAATATTTGTCTGATGAGTCTATTGATATCATAATAGTAAACGCTGTGGCAAATATTTTTAAATAAAATATCATTTGTGCGTCTCAAATACTTTAATCAATAAGTTCGGTTGAGTTTTTAGAACTAAGTTTTCAGTAAAAAGTTATTGTGTCATAAACCCTTATCTAGATCCATGGAAGATAATGATTGGTCCCCCTGATCTGTGACATAACTGGTTTTCTTTGATTTTGAATTCTGATCCCCGTGCTACATAAAAAAAGAAAACATAATTTTTTTCGTTAGAGAAATAAAAAATTAACGTTACGTATTTATTTACGCAATTCGACATTGACAAATGACTTTTTACAACACTAACAATTGACTTTAATTTTTTCATTAAAACAAGTAAGCCCTTTAAAAATATGCATCAGAAATGTTTGTGTTCTATGTATAAATGAAATTAGGGGATGTGAATTCGTTGTCACTATTTTATTTTCATTTACATTTTGTACACATTTTATTACGTTTTTTCCTGTTTCAAACATAATTAGAGACAAAAGTACTAAAAGGTCTATGTTTAGAAATAATTTTAATTATTTACCCTCTGTATTCTCAAAATAATTTTTTAAGTTTCCCCCCCCCCCCTTTCCATTTTTTTTTTTAATGAGATTCATTTATATAAGTTGTTAATCTGTCATCTATGTTCCAACTCTTTGCGACCTTAATACAGCACGAATCATATAAGATGAAATTGACCAACTTATCCTACCATTACTCATTATACATTACACATACATTTATGAAAGCCTATTTATCATAATTTAAAAGGGGAAAATGTGAGATCAGTTCAAGGAAAATCCTTCAAGGGGTATTAGAATTTATAGAATGATACAAAACAAAGAAGACGTCAAAAAGGGGCGACTATATGAAACATAAAATGTTTCGTGTGTATGCTTTTTCGCGACACAAATATTGAAACAGGCAGATACGACAATGTCAAACTGTGTCGATTTTTTGCATTACTTTTTTGCATTTGCCCTTTTTCACATTGTTTCTTTTTTGCCTTTTCGCATTGTTGAATATTTGAATTTTTGCATTGTTACATTTTTGCCTTGATGTATTGCTGCATGTTTCCTGTTCCGGTTGTACAAACGCATATGTACATCAGTTGCAACGGACAGAGCTTTGCAGTTTCGGGTGTTCGTTAAATTTTACTCCTTTATCTAACATACTGTGACATATGGTATATTTCTAGTCTGCACATGCATAACGGTAACGCTTTACAGATAAGCTACAAAGCAAAATATTGGAAAAGGGAATAACGAAAATATTTTTAAATGTTTCGCATATAGTTGTATAGTTTTGTTGTCAGTTTGCTTTTCTGCCCATTCCAAAATGCTAAACACGAAGATATATAAAGATTGACTTTTTTGGGAAAAAGAAAATATACGATATGGCGTAAATCAGCAATCATGTGTAATAAATTCGACAATGGGTAGCCAAAGCTAAGATAAAAAGCATCAATGTGAAAAAGCAAATATTAAACAATGGGAAACATAATAAAATACAACATCGGATTCAGCAAATACGCGATTTTGCCAAGACATTACATCAAAAAGACGTATAGCATGTATCGAATATTTCCTTAATTTGTTGTCCTTCAAAATTGCAAACATGCAAAACGAATGCGAAATTCAATATGAAAAATTTATTTTGCATGAAGCATGTGGACGCGGAGCAATTATATTACAAGAGAAAAATTAAGCAAGATTAATTTGGTTCAAAATGGTTTATAATTCTGTAAAGAATATGCTTGAGTTATTGGCTTTACATCCCCTATTACGGAGGATCTCAAAAGTTTTTGTGATGTGAAAAGTTAATATGAAATTCGATGCTCTACAAGCTGAACGTTGTTCAAAGTGTTTATGCCAACACGGACACTGGCACCAAGATGAGGATAGCATTTCTATTCTTCTTATAGTCGAGCTAAAAGGTTCATTAGGCTCCACTCTTTTTGTATATACAAGTCACATGAAACCTTACAAAATTTTTAATCTATTTGTTCAATTTTTGGTCACACAGATCTATTTAATATGGAAAAACCACATAAATGGTCAATGCAATGTTTTCCCCTATAAAAATGTTCAATTTGAGACAGTACTCCAATAATTATCTTGGTTGTACGGATCTAATTTGTCTAGATAATAAATCGAAGTTCAGCATGACAGAAAAATGTCGATGACTTATTTCAATGCTTTCCTTTCGCTCATTATACTTTTTTTATGTTATTCAACGATTCAAATGAATTATATTTAAATTAAGAATACTAGATTTCAATGTTTTAATAACTTGTATGGTATGGTTCGTATTCATATAGTAAAAACTTGGCTGAGTAAATGGTTTATAAATGCATGTCATAAAGAATTGTGCCTTCCAAGAACAAATGTCTTTGAAACAAAATCCCAGGATTATGTACTAAACTGTTTCGCTCACTGCCCAGATACACTGTTTTCCTTCAGACTGTTTCACAATTTATGTTACGTCGCAAATCTCCGAAAGTATTGGCTACTGTTTATACAACTGCATTAATATATCCGAAAGTAAAGCGGGATAACTAGGTCGTACAATTTACCATAGTTCATATTTCTACACAGTACACACTACTTTTTAGTTGCTTTGACACGTGCGTAATCCTAAATTGTTTTTTATCTTGCAAATAAAGGAAATTGAATCTCAACACATTTTACATGAAAATACTGCAGTTTAGATGCTTGGTCTTATCATTGATAAACTAGGTCAGAAATTACTATACATTTGTACTACAATCAAATTGATAGAATAGTGCTTCTACGCGGAAGAATCATTATTTTTAAAAATCATTTCAGTCACCACAAAAAGATATTATTTGTACATATTTTCCACATAAAAGTTATTATAAAAATGTTTTTAATGGCGTTTTTGCTCTATATTAAAACAATATTACTTCGATTTTATGTAAAATTTGTCGTCTTCTTACGGCTTTCATACATAAAATCCGTGTTTGGCTGTACTTCGTATGGGACGAAGTAGGACAAAGTAGTCCTATTTTTACGATTTTTTCTCGTAAATATGATATTCATTTGTTTATTATATCATGCAATTAAATAACGATCTTTGTTATTAAACTGGAACATAAACGCATTCAACATATACCGGCATAAAGTGTGTGCTTTAAATGATTAAATCGTGTACTATTTATTAAGATGTTATTTGGTTTGAGTTACGTTTCGATTGTAGACATCGAAACCCCATGATCTGATGCGCCTTGGGGCGCGTCCGTCGCAAATTGAGTACATCATACATCCTAACAGATATAACTAAAGCTATAGATATTTGACAAACCATTGCTCTTTGTTTCATCATATGGATATACCACAGCAGTTTGTTTTTCAGTTTCCTTAGGTTCTATTGGTGTTGTTTCATTGTCATCATCTGCTTTGTATTTGCTGTTTTGATCTAAAAATATAATATATAAAATGTTGGTTTTGTATATAAATTAATACATGTATATAAATAAGCGTTGTTGTGTGCATGTTAAACTCAATAAGAGTACAATATTAGAAATAATGTACACAAAAAGAGAGACAACCATTTAAGAAAAGGATAAACACATAAAAGTTACATAACATATTCAGAGATATCTAAAAAGCTCCGTTTCATTTGAAAAAAGTGGATTTAAAAAGAGACGTGGAAACAATGTCTTAGTATCATATGTTAAATCAGTATCAGAAGTTTGCACATTATTATAAACATAAAATGTGAGCTTCTTCGTGTTTTGAAGAAAAAAGAGGTTAATAAATATCAATAAGCTAAATGAACTATTTTATTCTCAAAATGCTTTAACATTGAGGTATTGTCGTTATTCAAAATGCTTTGATTTTGAAGAAGTGTCGTACATAGATTTTCCCCTAAGCAAATTGATTTACATTTTAAAACCTTAATCATTTAATCTCAATTATTGCATTTCATTTTAAAGAATGTCAATTATTAGAACTTCACTGTAGAACCATACTCATAACTAAGTCCAAATTCTTTCTCATCAAAAGTCTTTCATGAAAGATGAAATTAAGAACTGCTTTTTAACAAATGTATCTCAATATTTACCTTTTGACTTACTAATGAAGTGTGTTGCATCTAACATATTTTCTTCCCCAGATTTAATGTACATAGTATTGTATCCAGTGGTTTGATCTGAAATAAGTTGTTTTAAAGGTTTTCTTTAAAATCTGATTATTGTACATTTGTAGACAAAAGACCTTTTACATTATCTGTGCGTCGCATTCAAAGCATTTGAAGTTTAGTGTAAAAATAAAAAGATAAATAAGTATGGTTTATAACAGGAAAAAAACAAACAAATCAGAATCATTAAAAACTGGTCTTTTACCAAGAAGACCATTATTGCCTTTTTTATTGCTCAACTGAATGAAAACTGTAACTTCCTTTCGTCTTAAACTATATATATAGTGTAATGAAAAGAAAATCAAAGCCTCCGTCATAATTAAGCGGTTGACCAAGATTATAAAAATGAAAATTTCAAACAAAATTTTGATCTCTTGTGTTTAAGCTTTTCTAAAATTTTGGCTTGGGGATCTAGGTTTATTACCCTAAAGGATCGATTAGCACTAAAATATCAAAATGACATATGTCAGATTGCCCAAACCCAAACATTTAATGTTACACAACCTTATAGAAATCACAAGGAAAATAATAATTTTCTAGTGCAAAATTATACAGAATTATTGATAAACACACACTATTTATTATCATAATAAAAAATTATGTCACCATGTTAAATCATTTACAAACAAGAGCCATGTCAACATGGCCATCCCCCGCCGGAAGTGTTTGCTCATTGGAAGAATTCATATGTAGTAGAGCAGAATAATTTAATTTTAAGAGGTATTTTGGTAATGAAAACTGATGGCTGAAGTGATAACAGATTTGAAACCTATTTGAATACTGATGGCTGAAAATAACAAAGGGCAATAACTGAAAAATAATGCAGGGTAGGTTATCATTCTTGTGTGCTGCACCCTCCTCAGTAAAATCAATCCACCACAAAATAGTATGAAAAAGAACAAAGGGCAATAACTCAAAAATTATATAGGGAAGAGTTATCATTCTTGCGGATTCTTGACATCTCATACCCGTTTGAGTTATGCTACACTCAGGTGAAAAATTAAGTATGAAAAATAACAACGGGTAATAACTCAAAAATTATGAAAGGTAGAGTTATCATTCTTTTGCACTGCACACCTCCTGAGTGAGATTTATAGACCTATGAAGTTTCATGTTGATATCTCAAAGGCTTTTTGAGTTATGCTCTGGACAAAAATTAATTTTCAAAAATAACAAAGGGCAATAACACAAATATTATACAGGATAGAGTTATCATTCTTAAGCACTGCACTCCTCCTCAATGAGATCCATCTACCTATGAAATTTCAAGTTGATACCTCAAATACTTTTTGAGATAAGCTCCCAACAAAATAGTATGAAAAAGAACAAAGGGCAATAACTCAAAAATGATATAGGGAAGAGTTATTATTCTTGCGCACAGAATTCTTCCTCAGTAAGATCTATCCACTTATGACATTTCATGTAGACATCTTAAACACTTTTTGAGTTATACTCCACTCAGGTGAAAAATTAAGTTTCAAAAATAACAAAGGGCAATCACTCAAAAATTATGAAAGATAGTGTTATCATTCTTATGCACTGCACATCTCCTAAGTGAGATCTATGCACCTATGAAGTTTTATGTTGATATCTCAAACGCTTTTTGAGTTATGCTCTGGACAAAATTAATTTTGAAAAATAATAAAGGGCAATAACTCAAAAATTATGCAGGGTAGAGTTATCCTTCTTATGCACTGAACTACTCCTCAATGAGATCGATTCATCCACCTATGAAGTTTCAAGTTGATCCCTCAAATACTTTTTCAGATAAGCTTCCGGACATTAAAAGTATGAAAAAGAACAAAGGGTAATAACTCATAAGTTATATAGGAAAGAGTTATCATTCTTGCGCACAGCATTCCTCCACAATAAGATCTATCCACAAATACTTTTTGAAATAAGCTCCCAACAAAATAGTATGAAAAAGAACAAAGGGCAATAATTCAAAAATTATATAGGGAAGAGTTATCATTCTTGCGAAATTTTTTGACATCTCATACACTTTTGAGTTATGCTCCACTCAGGTAAAAAATTAGGTATGAAAAATAACAACGGGCAATAACTCAAAAATTATGAAAGGTAGAGTTATCATTCCTTTGCACTGCACATCTCCTGAGTGAGATTTATTGACCTATGAAGTTCCATGTTGATATCTCAAAGGCTTTTTGAGTTATGCTCCGGACAAAAATTAATTTTGAAAAATAACAAAGGGCAATTACACAAAAATAATACAGGATAGAGTTATCATTCTTTGTTCTGCACTCCTCCTCAATGAGATCCATCCACCTATGAAGTTTCAAGTTGATACCTTAAATACTCTTTGAGATAAGCTCCGGACAAATAGTATGAAAAAGAACAAAGGGCAATAACTCAAAAATTGTATAGGGAATAGTTATCACTCTTGCGCACAGCATTCCTCCTCAATAAGATGTATCCACCTATGACATTTCATGTTGACATCTCAAACGCTTTTTGAGTTATGCTCTGAACAAAAATTAATTTTGAAAAAAGACAAAGGGCAATAACACAAAAATTATGCAGGGTAGAGTTATCCTTCTTATGCACTGAACTCCTTCTCAATGAGATCGATCCATCCACCTATGAAGTTTCAAGTTGATACCTCAAATACTTTTTCAGATAAGCTCCGGACAAAATAGTATGAAAAAGAACAAAGGATAATAACTCAAAAATAATATAGGAAAGAGTTATCATTCTTGCGCACAGCATTCCTCCTCAATTAGATCTATCCACCTATAAGATGTATCCACCTATGACATTTCATGTTGACATCTCAAACACTTTTTGAATTATGCTCCACTCAGGTGAAAAATTAAGTATGAAAAATAACAAAGGGCAATCAAAAATAAAAAATTATGCAGGGTAGAGTTATCATTCTTGTGCACTGCACTCCTCAACAATGAGGTCTATCCACTTATTTCTTACATATCCATTCTACGGCAATATTATACATGTTTATATATAAATGATTCATTAATATACAAAAATAATCATATAGTATCAGGAACATAAACTGAACATAATCTACTGACAGTACCAAAAAGCTTTTGGTGACTTTTATGCACACGAGTTTTCTGGAACGTCTTGTAATTTTGCACAGAACGTTTAAAATGCATTATCACATAAACCGCGGCGCAGGAGTGTAATAAACCGTTTAATAAAAACGATATTACACTACACGATATTTCATTAGTGTAATAACACTCTGACGTGACGTCATTTGCGCTATAAACATAGCGCTAACGCGCGCTAATGTTAGCGTTACACTATTGGCGCGTCTGATAAAAATGACTCTTGTTAACAGTTTACCGTGCTTTTTTATATATGTGATAAAAAGAATATTATATTCGTGTAAATTCAATACTAAATATATTGAACTCGTTGAATGAAATAATATTATGCTCGCCAGAGGCTCGCATAATATGATTTTATTCAACTCGTTCAATAAATTTAGTATTAAACCTACACTTATTCGATATTTCAATGTCCTCTATATTTATAACAGGTAGAATAAACTTTTCACCAGATATCATATGAGAATTTTTAAGCTGTTTCAAAAATTTCATCAAAGGGAGCATAGTTTACAGAAAAATCCAAATTACAGAACAACCCAAAGTCCGAGAAATGTAAATAGTACAAATCCTCTCCCAAACTCCTTTGAGATTATTAAAAAAATTAACTCTGGAAAACGTTTTAGAAAGATGCCTTATACATTTATAATGGAAACGAGTTTTTACATTATCAAAGAGTTCAATTGACTATGCAGTCTTTTTTAATTTTTTATCAATTAATTCGCTATTAATAGATTAATCTCACCAGGTTCCGCCAGCGATGGTACTCCAATCCTTTCGTCTTGATTTAGTTCAACATCTAGCGGCGGTGTATTCTTAATACCGCATCGGACATCTAGCAGCGGTGTATTCCCAATGTCGCATCGAGAGGAGTCATCTAATTTAAAGTAAAGATATAAAAATAATTCAAAGTAGGTCAGCTGGTATCAAAATTCATTTCAGCATAAAAATTACACCACTGTTCTAAATTTCAAAACACAATAAAGAAGGCAAGAAAGAATGTCACATGATATTCAAACCATCAAAAGTACGTCAGATATTATCAAAATTCATCTCATCAAAAAAAAAAACACCCTTGGTCCAAAGTTCATGTCTGTACGTTAAGAAGCAAGAAAGTAGCTCAAATGATATCAATAATATGTAAAGTAGTTCAGCTGATATCAAAATTCATTTTGGCGCATGACCTAAATTTCAAGTATGTACGTCAAAAAGTAGGTCAAATTATATAAAAAAATATCAGAAGTGGATCAAAATTCAATTCTGTATCAAGTCTTTATTTCAAAGAAACGAAGAACAAGGTCAAACGATATTAATATCGAAAGAAGGTCAGTTGACATCAAAATTCAATTCAGCATCAGAAAATACATTTCTTGTCCAATTTCAAGTATGTTTGGTAACAATTTAATTAACAAGTGTGACCACTAGAGTGTTAACAAGATATTCTCACATTTGGGCGGTGTAACCTAGTTTTTGATCCCAGGTGACCCATGTTCGAACCTCATATGAAAGTAAACTTTCAGACCAATTTTCAAGATAATTGAATTAAAACAGTAGCCAGTAGAGTGCTAACATTGTATTTTGATTCCGGTGACCTATTGTTTCATCCGAGATGACCCATGTTCGAACGCATCTGAGCAATAACCAAGACAAGCATCCTGACCAAGTTTAATGATACTTGAGTAAAAAATGTTACCACTTGAGTGTTAACAAGGTTTTTCCATATTCGGCGGAGTGACTTAGTTTTTGACACCAGGTGATCCATATTCGAAATAGACATAGGAAGCGTCAAAACAAACTTGCGGACTAATTTCCAGGATATTTGGATCAAAACAATGGCCACTACAGTGTTAACAAGATTTTCTATTTTTAGCTCCTGTGATATAGTTTTTTTTAATCCGAGATGTTCGAACTCATCTGAGCAATTACCTTTAAAAGCATCCTGATCAAGTTTGATTAAAATTGAGCCAAAAATGTGACCACTAGTCAAAAGAAAAAAGAAGGTTAAAGATTAAATGATTCTCTTGTTATAGTGCGGAATCCAACTGGTCTACCGAGCACTGGGCTTTTCAACATACCGACATACCGACCAACATTTGTAAAGCAATATACCCCCTTTTCTGCGGAAGGGGCATAATAAGACACACGAAAACGAAAACGGATAAGGGTTTACCCTCACGTGAAGCCAATATTTTTGAGTCGAACGAATTTGCGGGCGCTTCTGGTTGAGTAAGTGGGCGATTTGTCCGAATTGTTTGGAAATGTCTTTACTGCTTGTAGAGTTAAACATCTTTATGACATACTACGCTATGCCATTCAGTATTTATTGATAATGGTCAAAATTTTGTAAAAGAAAAAGAAGATTGCCATTTTACCCATTGATGTACATAAATGATAAATGTGGAGACTCTTTTTCATAAACGAGTTAATACTTGTCTGTGAACTATATTTTGCTATAACTCCAATAATCAATAATTTAAAAAAAATGATCATAAACAATCTTTTGTTGATATGGATGTTCTTTTTTCCTTTTTGTATGTAATAAAGATGAACAAAATTATGATTAACAATTGTGGGATGCACATTGTACACAATTCAACAAATATCAACAAAATAGAAAAAATCAGAATCTCTAAAGTATGCAAAAAAGCAAAATGGAAAATGTTGCTCCGCCTCTTTCCATCAGTATAAGGTTGACTGCTAAAGAGCACTATCTGAAATAAAGCCATGAGTTCATTTGTGTAAACCAGGTCATCCACTGAATATGTATAATATCAGTTTAGCAATTGGATAGACAGTCCGCCAATTTACATAAAACTGTCACCACCGGAACGACCCATTGCTCAGTTACCGCGTAAAATACTCGTCTGTTAAAGCAAGAACTAAAAACTATCAAAATTTTTATGGTGATATGGCTGTTATGATAATCACTTGACACTCGTGTAATTGCGAATATTTTATATATTGGTATCCATACAAGTGTTTAATGGCTTTCCATATAGGCAAAAAGGGCAAAACTGGATACAGATCTCTTAGTTAAGTCCCAAGTATCCGACAGATGAGCCTTATCCCAAAATTATCAAATATCCTAAACAAGAGGGCCATGATGGCCCTGAAGTCGCTCACCTGTATATAGGCCCCCGTAGCGGGGCCAGTTTAAACCCCAGGGCTTTTATTTGAACAAACTTGGTAGACACCCATTAGAAGATGTTTCATGCTAAACATCTAATTAAGGTCTAGCTGGTCAAGTTTTTTATTTAAACATATAGTTTAAAAACAAGGGGACACACCTGGGCAGGGCCAGTTTGACCCAAGGCTTTTATTTTGTCAATCTTTGTAGACACTTACTAGAAAAGTTTCATGCTTAATATCTGAACTCTAGCTATTCGGATTTTTCGAAGAAGATTTTTAAGTTTTTGCTATACACATATAAGTAAAATCAATGACCCCCGGGTGGGGCCAATTTTTGACCCCCAGGGCTTTTATTTGAACAAACTTTGTAGACCACTGACAAGAAGATGTTTCATGCTTAATATCTAAACTCTAGCTTTTTGGGTTTAGTCAAAGAAGATTTTTAAGTCTTTGCTATACACATATAAGGAAAATCAATGTCACCTGGGGCGGGGCCAATTTTGACCCCAGGGCTTTTATTTGAACAAACTTTGTAGACACTCACTAGAAGATGCTTCGTGCTTAATATCTAAACTCTAGTTATTTGAGTTTTTTCAAAAAAGATTTTTTAAGTTTTTGTTATACACATATAAGGAAAATCAATGACCCCCGGGCGGGGCCAATTTCGACCCCAGGGCTTTTATTTGAAAAAACTTGGTAGACACTCACTAGAAGATGTTTCATGTTTAGTATCTATCAAGCTATTTGGTTTTTTTTTCAAAGAAGATTCTTAGTTTTTGCTATACACATATAAGGAAAATCAATGACCCCCGGGGCGGGGCCAATTTTGACCCCAGGGCTCTTATTTGAACAAACTTGGTAGACATCCATTAGAACATGTTTCATGCTAAATATCTTAGCTCTAGCTCTTTGGGTTCTTTAAAAGAAGATTTTTTAATTTTTTACTATATGCATATAGGGAAAATCAATGACCCCCTGGGGCGGGGCCAATTTTGATCCCAGGGCTTTTATTTGAACAAACTTGGTAGACACTCACTAGAAGATGTTTCATGCCAAATATCTAAGCTCTAGCTCTTTGGGTTATTTAGAAGAAGATATTTAAAGTTTTTTCATTTGGTTGCCATGGCAACCAGAGTTCTGCATGGAATTAAATTCTTTGAACAATTTTCAAAGGTGACCACCAAAGGAACATTCATGTGAAGTTTGGATGAAATTGGCTTAGTGGTTTATGAGGAGATGTCATTTAAAGTAAAAGTTTACGGACGACGGACGGACGACGGACGGACGCCGGACGAAAAGCGATCACAAAAGCTCACCCTGTCACTTTGTGACAGGTGAGCTAAAAATGAATACAATATCTTTGATTGTTTTCAAAATTGTTGATCAACAACTAATTTGTTTTAAAAATTTAAGTTTTAATTGTATAAAATAATTTAATTTTTATCTTCGGAGGTTTTCATTTTCTTGTTTGTCGAAAATTGAAAACAATACTGTAAGTCAAACAACATCAGAATTAACGGTCTGAAAATGGTTTAAAAAGAAAATGCCTATGAAACAACTCAGATGGTAATTATTAACTTGAATGGAGTTATCCCAAAAACAATATTTATATAATAAAATACAATTATGACTTGTGTAAAGTTATCGATGTAAATGCTGAAACAACTTGTGTGAAAAATACTAGTTCTGTGTACGCGTAAAGAAATAACAAGACCGATCAGTGATCACATGTATCGCCTCATGATAGCCATAACTCGACCAAAAATTATTCAACCTATAGACCCTTTCATATAAGCGATAAGCGTCGGGGAAGAGATACTTCCCTTACCTGATGTGCCATAAATGGGAGATTGTTCTATACAGACCGTGTATAATGTTAGCTTATTGACGTTTTTTTGTGTGTGACAAGCATGAAAATTAGATTATCAGTGTTTTTTGTTGTATTTTAAATGATTATATAGAGCATATGTATTTGTTTGTGTGTAAGATGAAATTTTATTTCATTGAGTGAGCTTTAAAAACAGTATTCTCACAAGTGGCGTAGCCACAAGGGATACTGTTTTTAAAGTTCATGAGATTAAATCAAACTACATCTTACACAACAAACAAACAAAATTAAATTGTCTTTTTGTGCTTAAAAACAAGTTAAAATGAAATTTCCTTAATATCAACTTTAGTATTAAAATCTATTTTCCCCACTGGTAGCCTCATTTAGTCAAATTTCTCATAAAATACAAGAAGTCTTGGGCTGAAAAAATATGTTCGACAATCATTGTTAAAGGGCGATGATATTATTCATTTTATTCAAATTATATGAATGATCGCTTGTTTAAATAAAAAAATTCTAATAGGAGAAAAAGTCAAACAATCCATCCTTATTTCTGTTACTTACGGCGAATTTATATTAATAATTATAATTAATATGCGCATGAGCTAGAGATCAAGTCTGTAAAGTTTCATTGAAATGTTTCAGTGGTTTAAAAAGGGGTAGTCGGACAAACTTTAAAAACAAAAATCGTTAAAAGGCCGTACCTCTGGCAAATCAGTGAACCGGAAAATGCTGACGACATGCACACCTAGACTTGGTACTGATCATTCCTATAAAGTTTGGATGAGTTTCCAAAAGTAGCATTTCTTGAGTAATGCGGACAAGTTTTTATGCTGGACGGACGAAAAGACAGACGATGGAGAGGTGATCCCAATATGCCACTACTCCGTAGAGGCGAATGTTTTTGTTGTTGTTGTTGTTGTTTTTTCTTAATTTCTTTTTCATTTTGATTGTCAAGCGTAAAGCCTAGTGATAAAAGTAAATATATTGAATTGTCATAAATGCATGTATTTATTTCTATAAGTCTTGATAATCAATATATAACACAACAAAGATATCTAAAACGCTAACATGTTCATTATGATATAAAATGATATAAAATTTACATTATTTCAAAAATGCTTTACTGATTTTTATATAAAATGTTATGGTTTTTTTTTGTTGTTTTTTATTCTGTTTATTCTTTTATAGTTACATCAATTGATGTATTCGTGTAACTTGTTTTTTAACTAAATGATAATATATACTTATATCAGTGTATTTGATTGTTAACTTATACATGTATATAGAGCGTTAAATGAGCAATGACAATGTGACAACAACTTTTCCAAAATTTCTAATTATCTTATATATAGTGCTGATTTGTTATGGTTTCAAATATAATTTCTAGATTTTTGTAAATGTATAGCATATGTATATATTTTTGTAATAGCTGCAGATTATATTATATCATTGTAGGCAGGGACAGTATATTAGCATTGTTCTGTCTGCTTCGTTAGCCAGTGTACACTGAATAAGTATGGGAGTCTAAGTAAATCCCCGATACTTTTATACTTATATACTTTATATATAGAATTCCGCCGTTCTACATTAATAAGTTATGTTGTATCAATTTCATTGAAGCTGATAGTGTCTGCAAAGATTTTTATCATGTAATTTAAAACTGTTTATATGTTTCATGCTTCTAAATGGGACGTGATTTCCCGTAACTGTCGGACATATGATTAAGTATTTTTAAATTTTAACAGATTGCTCCTTTACGATGTGACGCCGAAGTTCCAAAAATCATCTCTGTCAAGGAAACTTAATGTTTGTGCGATGTTAACATTTAAATTGAGGAAATTAGTTCAAAGGAAACAGTTAACCCGAAGAAAAAACTTTTGACCTTTAATGTTTGAAATAAATCTGCAGACAAGAAAGTTAAATAGTGAAATGATTTTTCATTTTATGATAAATACTAAAAATCATTAGTTTCGAACAATCCATGTTTTAACCATTTACCTCATATATACGCGTAACAACGCACTTTCGACCCTTCTCTTATACTCGTTTAAGCCTCAAATAGTGAAAAAATGTCCTGTTTGGACTCCAAAGACATGTTTTCGTTTGAGAAATGTTGATAAAAGTGATCACTTTTTCGGCGCCGCCACCCATCAAAAAGGTACACCAAGAAAACTGTGGACTTGTGAGAGGCTCAAAATGACTTAAGGTCGATCATAAGGTTAACGTGTAACCAACGTTGAAAAGCCTTTGACTCTATCTGAACCCATTGAGAAGTTGCAGCCATTTGAAATCAAATTTGATAAAAAAATCAACGCAAAATAGTAGTTTTTGGCAATTTTGAGATGTCCCCTCGTTGCCATGGTAGCAGAAAATTTAGGATTACAAAGGCAATTGTCCAGTCAACATTTGTGCCAAGTTTGATAAGTATTGAAGCAGTTTTTATAGCTTTATAGCAATTTGAAGTTGTATCGGGAGACTTTTCAATGAAAACAGCCATTTTTTTAACAAAATGCTCATGCAGTAATTGGTTAAACTTAGGCAAAGAATTGAAATGATTTTGCCAAATTCCTATTTGATAATTGTAACTCATTTGTAAATATTTTATTCTCTTTTAAATAATTTAAAGTAGAATTGTTCACAGTCGTTTTCCTTAGTATATTATTTCGATGTTACCACTTTACCATTGCTGGCATGTTACAAATAAGAAATAAGAAATATATATATATATATATATATATATATATATATATATATATATATATATATATATATATATATATATATATATATATATATATATAACATTATCGAAATATACCTGTTAATGATATAATGCTGTTCGTTTCAAGATATTGAAGCTGATGAACACGTTTTGTTTAGATGTCATCCTAATATTGTTTATTTCTAGAATTACTAAAAATGTTTAAAACTTATAAAAAATAATATAAAATATCAGCAGTTTGTATATAAAATGTGCAGCGCGAAAAATAAAACAAGTACTGGTTTAGCATTGAGATTCATATTTCTAAAAAGAAACTAAGTACTCATGAGCTCTCGTGTAAATCGTTTATCACTTTACAATTTATTTTTAGTTTTTCTTTGGTCAGCATAAAATAATATAACTGTGAGAGAAAACGATCATTTTGCTTATTTGTGTTAACTATTTTTGTTTAATTTCACTATTGTCATTAATATCCTTTAGGATTTTATAGTTTAATGGTTACACAATTTATGTTAATTGCGTTAGCTAATTGTAATAAGCTTTTGGTAATGATACGTCGATTTTCTTATTTAAAAGAGACTGTTTAATGGGCATTTTGCAGCAAATCTTTAACCCCAGTCACACTAGAGCTTACGAGTACTTGCGACTACCGGCGACGTGTAAAACCGACGATCATTGGCGATTGTCTGCGACCAAGCCCTCTTTGAACAGATAAATATACTTCTGTGATTATCGTATAACCAATCATCATTGACAATCGCGCGACAGGTCATCAGCAAACGTGCGATGGTCTCAAGATTGCCTGGGATTACTTACGACAACCCGTGACCTGTCATGCGATCACCTACAACTTGTCGTGCGACCATCACACGATTACTAAAGACTACTCAAGATTATCAGTGACTAGTGGCAATTTGTAAAGACTGTGGTAAGATTGTCTTACTTTCGAGCTCAAAAACCTCTCTACGAATGAAGTTGGTCGTGCGACCTAAATAAGATAACCTGAGACTATCGAAGATCACCGATGACCGTCCTAAGATTTTTTAAAGATTGTCCGCGACCAGTGGTCACTGGTGATTGTCAACTGGTCTTTTGTGGTCGTAAGCTCTAATGTGACTGAAGCTTTGTATGAATTTCAATACTAATTTTTGTGTTCTAAAACGTCGAAAAAAAATTCTTATTACATATAATAGTTAAAATCGACGAATGAAATAACTTCTGATATAACATTAAAAGGTATAAGCTGTGTGGCATTTATCTACATGCTCATTGCAGTCAGCGAGCGTGATCTTCGTGATAAGCAATGATTTATTTGCTTTGTATGTTTAGTAGATATGCCTTAAACGTGAATGTCAATTTAATGAATTAAGGACATTAATCTCAAATATGTTATCCATTAACTAAATAAATTTTTACTTTATGATCTACAATTCAAATTGTTGATTGATAACACATCTAGAAGTATAAATGATATTACCTTTATACTTGTTTATGCTTGTTTTCTGCACAACATCTCTACTACAATGTTTGGTTGTTTCATTATAACGCTTTTGACGGTTACCAACTGCAATCAATGTATTATGTAATTACTTCACCTCCATAAAGAATTCAATGTCACATATGTAATCATATCAATAATCTTATCTGATAATCATAAATTCTTGAATAAAAATTTCAAACGCTGTGGCATATAAACTGCGAGAAACATATGTCTGTATAAAATAATAATATAAATAAAGCATGTGATAAAATTGCCCTTTTGTAAGCTTGCATGATTCAGGGCGCCGTGTAAAATAGCGGACTGCTTTATGACAGCTCTGGTAATATCACAATTAAAACTATACTGACCAATGGCAATTCACTCTCGGTTAAAAAAAGACATTACAAAACCGGGTTTTCTCTACGAAAGTACATCACAAAACACGAATCGGACAAATACTTATGTTCAATAATATCTCAAGTGTATTTTTTTGTGTAGATCAAAATCTGCAGAAGCCCCGGAATTAACTAGTGGGCTTGCGCTTTACATGCGTCCTTCTGCTTCTGCACATTTAAATGCACGAACAAAGGGTGCAATAATATTTAATATTCTCAGCTAAATCATTTTGTTCTAATATAGCATTAATAGTCTTAGTTTAAACATTTTTTCTAATTAAGCATTTTGTTCTTTACCTGATCTTGTCTTTGATACAGTCTTTTTTCTTTTTTGCATTATCCAATCTCTTTGATTTCGTTCAAGTCTAAATAATCAAAGTAATTAATATAGTGTTAGTTTTAATTGTGATTAAATATAATGATCATAGCGATAATAAAAATAATGACTATAATAATAACATTGCATATGATGATGACATTAATAGCAATTATAATGATAATTACTATAATAATAATAATAAAACATGCATTTATAAAATCTTTTTTAAAATAAGGCCAAGAAAAATTATGGCATTTTTACGCTTTATTATACAATAAACTTTACTCCAAAAAAGCTTTTCTGTAATTGCCCAATTTACAAATGATTGAATAATACAATTACTTTCTGATGATGTAATGTGGCAGTATGAAGAAAACGACAACGAAATGAAGAAGAAGGAGAACTATTATCCAGGGTTCCAATAGAGTTGATAGATCACCGCTGACGTCTGTCAAATAGAAAACCTGCAGAATTATTACGTTCTTCAATTGTTATTACTTAAATTTATCTAATGCATGTTAGGGAACGTTACCACTATTTTACTTATGACAATGAATTAAGAATATTTTAACAGTTGATATAAAATACAAATACAAGAATAGGTTCTTTTTAAATGTGCACTACATGGTGTGACTTTCTCGGAAGAAATTACAAAATTGTAGGTAATTTATCAAAAGCAAACATGTAATATTCACAATAATTTGTCATTTCGATCTTTAAGTAAATAGGCACTTTCTCTAGCAAAGCCTTTTTTTCAGAGCATATATTTTCATTGAACGTTACTAATTGTATACTGGTTTGAGAACAATATGCATTTTAACGGCATTCTTTAGTACAAGCAGGTAGTTGTGCTTACTTACTTGACCTTAAAAAATCATATTCTAAATCGCTGCCATTGTTTGTTAATTTTTACCTTAATTCTCACATGGGTGAGATAAAACACATTATTTTTTGAAATTTTTATTCACAGTTTTGCTTATTTTAGTCGGCTAAAGTGTGAACGAAAAGAATCAATGGAACAAATAAATAAATTCAATGCGGCAGCCATCTTGGATTTCAAAATGACTGAAAATTTCCTTTGTTTCTATATATACTAAAAAGGTTTTCTACTAGACTTTTATCGCCCTAAATGGAAGCCTGCTCAAATGTCAGTTTCCTAGTGTCCTCATGTGCCAGTTAGGTGTATTTGATGGGTTCTAGGTTGGCATTGAAATAAATTCTGTATACGCCCGACGTTTAGGATTAATCATTGACTATTGGTGGCAAAAAGACTGCTTTTGGAGTTTGAAAAAGTGTTGCGGGTCACAGACATCTGCACATGTCAACTCATTTACAACATGACGTATGTCTGTCTATATAGTTCCGTCCATAACTGTCATTCATTGAAAGGATATAAGCATAAGTAGCAGATAACGACCACTTAATGCATACTGAAATTATAAATAATTGTTTCCTTATGTTTCTAAATTATTGTAAGACTTGTAAGATTATAACAGTTACCATGCCTTCATTGTTTTTATGGGGATGCCCTTAGGGGACATTTTCAAGTGGCAAGCCCTTGTTGTTTATCCAGGTGTTACATTATTGTCGGGATAATGCATACATAGTTGGTACCAGTTTAGTCACTATTTTTACACTTACAAATGCCAAAGTGTTTTATTGATTGATATTTGAAAAATATGGGATGAGATAAATATATTGTGGCAAATGACATCAAGAAATAAGTTATATCATAATGGAATAAGATACCCTATCAATTTCTCGTAGGATAGCCAGGAACAAAATAAGTAAGAAAATTTTAATATGTACTTGTCACGTGAATATCAATAGACAAATTTAAAAACATGACATAGATAAACACACAAAATTTCGTATTTTAGTTTATTTTTACTTTAATTTAAATACATATGCATCGTTGGCATATATTTCACATTATTTCAGTAGAAAAAGAAACTTAATAAAACAAAGTGGCTTATCAAATCATTTAAGAGTAATCAAAAGAGGATAAACAGCAGTGAATAGTCAATATAAAAGTAATAGAACTAGTCATCTAGGCATGAATACCCGAGATAAACCTATAATAATTTACTCTGTATTATTCATTCATCGTAAGACAAAGGTATGGTCGCTTGTCTGTGAAGATGAAAGGCAATTTTTAAAATGTTGGCATACTGACCTTGACTTTTGACCATTAAATTATAAAATGATTTAGTGTCCATAAATGTTTACACATATGCTATTTTATCAAAATTAAAACTTAAACATCTTATTGTAAATTATTGTGCATGTTATATGTTAAGACATTTGGGATATCAGATACCTGACAAAGATTAATTGTCCATAAAGAATGGCCTGTAATAGTTTGAGGTCATGGTGAAATTCATAATTAAAGTATGTAGTATACTTTCACATTGTGTACAATTCTACATGACATGCTGTTATATCATTATTGTATTTTTGATATTCATTCTTACAAAAAGATCCTTTTGATTAAAAGCACTCTACTTGTATTTGTTTCAAAAAGGGTGTCCATTTTGAAATCAAAGATGACCGCCATGGTAGTCAAAGTGCAATTCATGTTTAATTATTAGCCAATCGTTCCCCAAAGTATCTGAAACTTTATTCCATGAGTTTTAATTGGCAAACAATCCACTATGTGAACCACAAATAAGAAATTATTAAGTAAATGGTGTAGATCAATGGCGGCCATTTTGATTTGAACTTTAGAATGTACAGTCCTGATAGAGCAAAAATAGATTCAGCGTACCTGAATTAAGTAAAAACGATTGACTAAATACTTTTACTAAAAAAAAACACCGCGTCTTTTCTGATAATAAAACCCGTCTTTTGTTAGTATCTAAATATAACGCCTCTTTTAGGCAATAATTTAAAACTTTTGCTTTGTTATGTTGGTTATCAACAGTTACAAAAGATATTTATGTTTAATAATTTATGTTTAATACAATAAGATTTTCCTTTTTTCTGTAGTTTTGACATAATACAGCTTAGCAGACAAAGCTTTAAAATATGAAATGTATTACCACTACTATCATCTTTGTATATTGTACAGTATTCTGTACAGTATTCTGTATAGTATTCTGTACAGTTTCTATAATTGACAGTTTGCGTTGAAAGTAACTCATCCTGGTTGATATGTCCCATCCTGACACGCCTCACATTAAGCACGAGTGAAATTTCCGGGACAGTCGTCTATTGCTGTGTAACCAGGTTTACAAGGAAAACACTAAAATATTGAAGGAAATTGTAAAAGCAAAATGGATGTATGTTATTAATTACGGAAAGATATGAGATATACAAATCTTTAAAATATTGCAGATTTAAACTTATATCGTTTAAAAAACTTTCCGCGATATTTTAATAGCAACGTACCAAATAGTTTGTTTGTTTTGTTTGTTTGTTTGTTTGTTTGTTTCATTTTACGCCTTTTCCAAACAGTATTTCAGTCGTCTAACCATCGTTCCCTGAGAGTTACACCTTCCTCCGCGCTAAACTACCAAAGCATCTCCCGGGGATCAATCGAACCCACGCCAGAGAGGGCACCGAATAGTAAGTGTAGTTTTACTGTTGTTTAATAGAATTATCTTAGCTAGAACTTGAAGACAGTCTCGCTTTGTTTCAAACTTATTCGTATGTTATGTGGAAAGTACTGGTCTTGGTGCAAGAAAGGTTCAAACTCCTGTGTTTAAGAATGCAGACACCATAACAAATATATTATCAGTCTATGAAACAAACTTCCTTTATGTAATATGATTAATATTTCATCTTACCTGTATTCCTATCCCGTTAGTGTAAGTGTTGTTACAGATAGTGTTAGCAAAAGCTTGGCGTAAGAAAACAGCGATTATAATACCATAATAAACGGGAATTGTGATCATTGTCTGAAAAGAAATCAATATCACCGTTAATGTGCTATTTCAGGATTACTAACTGAACAACGAGTTTGATACCGGACTAATTACTTTTTCAAAATCGTATTGAATGTTTATTGACAGTAGCATGTAAGACGCAAGCACTTACATAAATGGGACATGAACGAATACAGGTGGCGCTATGACGGTAATAACTTCTCCCTTGAAACTTCGTCAAGGGTTAAACATTTTTAGCAAATAATATTTGGAAAAGCCAATATCCGAACTCCTTTTTTCGCGATTTGACCACTAGCCATAACTAGCGATTACATCTAGCTCCTGCAGATGTGTTATGTTATGCATGTACATGTATAAGATTGAAAAGGAAAATTATTATAATTATTAACTTAGACATTATACTACAGTATTGTTTGTTTATTTTGTGTATTTCATTGCATTTATACTCGCCAAAGGTTGCACATATAGCGAGTACTCTGTAAAAGTATTAGTCATTTTAGATTTTGGAGGAAAGTGAACAATTCAGATACAGGAGAATACCCTAATTCCAGACACTTCCCCTGGTACTTTACCAGTCTGATTGTTTATTCTTGAGACATATTAATCAGTTTGTTGCAAGGTATGCTAAATCGGTAGGTAAAATGTCCATCGTGCAGTTAAGGATGTTTGAATTACTTTATTGATAGAATAATATGTTGATTTTTTTCGTAATTATAAGTTTTTTTTTCTCAAAACATTAATATGAATACTTATTGCAGATGTGTTTTTACGTTAAGTCTAACTTTTGGATTTTAAACACAAGAAAATATACGGATTCGCACGCTGTCATGTTACTTTGATTTCGTTTCAAGAATCAAAAGAGTGGACGAAACTTAATTTGTAAAACATAAAAAAGAATACAAAAGATAAAAAGATGTAAATTATTATAGGTAATGGAAAAAGAAATCCATGTTAACTCATTTGGTAACGTAAAATATCCGATAACTTTTTCATATTAAATCAAAATGGTGGATATCGAGCAACACTACGAGCAAATAAATTTCTTGTCTCGACGGGAAAAAATGTACTTGGTTTTCCTTCGTAGATATGATCGTCAGTGTTATTCCCAATTGCCCACTTGTATGCAGACAAGTATAGGTCTTATTATATTTTACTTATACTATATAAGGGTATTCATTTAACAATATTTACACAACAAATGTCATCAATAGGACAGATGATCCATATCCCTAATGATTCATTACAATACTGTGCGTTTCATATTGAATAGAAAATCTTTGATACAATTTATTAGAAAAGGGGTGTATACCCGTAAAGAAATAGCGGGGATCGAATAATATATTGTAACGGCCGGTGGGTGTCAGGTGAAAAATACTAACGGTTTGATAAAAAAAACCTCAATTTATTCATTATCTATCCAATGAAACTGCAGAACAGAGACTGGAAGGAATTCAAGGCCTAGGACACCATTCGCTCAACAAAGGTTCAGTCAGACTTTATTACAAATCATGTTTAACGTTAACAATATGATCAGTGCTTACACATCCAGTGTGATAGATTTTTTTCACAACAAATGTTTTGATATATAATACTTCCAAAAAACATAAAGTACTGCCACCACAATCGTGGAGAAACTATTCTTTTTATATATAATTTTTTTGTGAAGAGAAAATAATTTGTTTTTAATATGAGAAAAAAATAAGAAGACAGATGAAAAAGCTGTTTATGAAAAAATGAGGCAATGTCATCGTTTCCAAAAACGTTATAGATAATTGAAAATATAATGGGTTGCGTTTATAGAAAGATTTATTTCGGTATAGAATACAGATACAAGGACATTTAAAACAACATGAAAGGTACAAACATTTAAAACATTCATAAGAATAAATGAGCCATGACATGAACACCAGCACCAAGGATAGCACAAAGATATACTGTGGTCCCCTGTGTTTGTGGTATGACGTAGAAAGCCTTTATCCAGTACAAATAATTAAATACTTTCATTTAAAAATTATCACATATTTACATTATCTTAAAACAGATAGACTAGAATTACAGCATTGTATCACATTATTCAAGTTGAAACAGAATGGCAAGTGATAAAATTAATAAGCATTAGATATTTTACCTTAAAACAGCCTTATTATTCAATAATAAAATTCATTATATCAAAGTAATTTTAAACCTAAAATATTTGGTAAGATACCAAGACGCAACTATAAAATGTAGGAATAAGTATTCAAAAATAATTATTATCAGACTAAAGAAATGCATCATTGCATATTAAATGTGTTAAATGATTCACTAAATGAGTTAAACCCATTCCTTTTCCGAAAACATACTGATGTAAATTTAAACCCTCATATAAATAAGTATTGAAAAAAATCATACCGTTCACCAGGTCCTTTGAATGAAGGAAACCTGCCAATGCTAGATAATTCAGCCGGCAAACTGTTCAACAACGGACAAGTCACAAAACAGAAGGACTTGGAACCAAAACCTTTGAAAATTGGGATAGCAAATGCACTCTTTTTACTTAACATGATCTTGATGGAATGAACAGTGTGCTGTGAGATGAAATGTTATTCCATGTAATCTGGAGCTAGACTATTTCTTACTTTAAAAATATAACAAAGAACGATCTGATCTACACGTATAGTGACTTTACTTTGGCGTTTCCGATGATATGACACTTCTTTATGCAATCTAACACTAGCAATTTTCAAATGCAGACTATTTATCATTATGTTGGTATAGTTTATCACTAAATAATGAATTTTCGTTTTTTGTTATTATCCTTATATTTAGATATGTTTTAAAAAGACTTAGTTCAAAAACCAAGTTGCTGATTTTCTATTTTTAACTTGAAAGGTATACGATATTTCTAAAGGAATTTTGTGAAATGTATGACATTCTGAGTTTTTATGTTTTTTTCAGTGATACCAAAACTGACAACCTCTAGACTTAACTTGATTGTGATATGTTTTAGCCAGATAAATACCTAGTTTATACCATAAATGTTTTACTACAATACATTCCCAAAATATGTGTTCTAAGGTTTCAATTCGTATAATGCAGAAATTCAAACTATAAGATAAAATTGGACGGAATGTTATAAAACATTTTAGAGGTTATATTATACCATTGACTGAATCAATTGTTAATTATAGTATTACAGCTATTATTTTCCCAAATGCATAAAAAGATAGAATTATACCCTTTTTTAATTGGGATATAAGAATGAAGCAAACAACAATCGACTGATTTTAATTTCATCAATTATATCTATGATATTTAACTTCATTATTGCTAAACAAATACAATCATACTTTGAAAATACAAACATTATTCATAACACACAATCAGACTTTTGCAAAAAAATCATTCTTGTAATACTACCTTCATAATTCAATAGATACACCCAATATGTCGGGAGAAAGTATATCAAAAAAAAATGCAAAAGTCAACACCATATTAATGACATAAACAAATGGTGCAAAATCATCAATGTGGCCTTAAATTCTGAAAGCTCAAAATGCATTTTGATAGAAACCACAGACACTTGGGGTTGCCTTTAAAATTCAAATAAAATGCATAGTTGTCAATCCCAGCACATGTACTGATCATATATATATATATATATATATATATATATATATATATATATATATATATATATATATATATATATATATATATATATATATATATATATATATATATATATATATATATATATATATATGTGTGTGTGTGTAAAAACTTAATATAAGCCGTTTTGAAGAAAAATCATATTTCAACATCTATAATAATATACAAGATAAAAATGTTCGCCGGAAAAAATCCGCACCCTACCGTCATCATCACCATGTATTTTATTCCATTTGCTGGGATTGACAAATATGCATTTTATTTGGATTTTAAAGGCATTTTGAGCTCCAAAACCCCAAGTGTCTGTGATAGAAACAAGGCCAAAGTAAAAACAATGTGTAAATTGTTTCTTACGATAAATGAAAATGTTCTTGAAATTGTGGCAGACTAGAAACATTAAAGATTTGCTATCAATTGACTCAATTTACAGCAACTACATCCCGTCAATAGTGCTATTCCAAACAGTACTGGTTACCATTCCTTGACATGTAAATACCACACATGAATAAATAAATAAATAAATGAATGAATGAGTGAATGAATGAATGAACGTATATTTGTATGATGCAATATTTATGTGTGTTGACAATTGTTAAGTTGAGTGTCTATCGGAATTATATGAATTAGTCAATCACTTTGATAACTCAGCATTTCGTTGCAGCGTATCCTGTTGTAATTAATTAGTCTTGAATTTGTTTCTTGCGGTAACATTCTTATGTTTGTGTTTTACTATTTGATATAAGTATGATACGTATACAAAAGAAATGATAACATAACGAACCTTATTCTTTGAAATAAGCCTTTCAAGAAGATATGTACACGCCAGTCAAAGTTAATCCCTTAAAAATTCTTTCAACTCACAACTCAATTTACCATTTGTCCATCTTATAGTTATATGCGAGAAATAAAAATGATAAAAAAGAAGTTTTATTTTGAAAGAAAAACTCTTTTAGAAATTATAAAATTTACACCGGAACGCATTTAAACTTTTGAAACTTATACAAAGCAAATATCTCTATATAGACTTAAATAAGAGTTGTGAGAAATTATCAATACAATATTATTCTATACGTTATTTTCTGCTTTAAGATATAATTACTTCATAGCTACACCTATTGAAAATATCATAGCCTTAAATGATTCCGATCATTATATACGCATTTTATCGGTTTTTGTACAATTTTAGACTCGTCACAATGGCTATGTGAACAAAAGAAGCCAAACGCATACAAGACATACAAGGATAAGTGGATAATTTAATTCAATTGATTGAAGATTTCTTATGTTAAAAATGTTGTAATAATAAACTTAATCCTTTCAATGAATGTATTAACAATTTTTATTACAAAGC